AAACCCCAGTACCACAAGACAAACAAACAAACACAAAAAACAACCTAAAGCTATAATGATTCATTAAGGGTACAAATTGCTTTTTAAAAATGCAAATCATAAATGTAAAAATGTTAATTGTGACATCAAAAACACAAAATGTGGAAGGAGGAGGAGGAGGAATAAAACTGTAGAGTTTCTATATGTGATCAAACTTATTTATCAGCTTAGAATAGTCATAAGATGTTTTATGTAAGCTTCAGGATAACCACAAAGCAAAATTTTATCACGGATACACAAAAAGATCCAAAGCACACCACAACAGAAATCCATTACTGACAAAACAAGAAAAGAACAAAGGATCTATACAATAACTAGAAAAACATTAATAAAATGGCACTAAGAAGGCATCACCTATCATCAATTACTTTGAATATAAATGGTTAAAGTTTTCTAATGAAAAAGTATAGAGTGGTTGAATGAATAAGAAAATAAGAATCTACCATGGAAGGAAACCCTCAATGTTATACAAAATCACATACAAGAGGTTGTGAGGGGAAAGGGGGGGAAAAAAACAAGGGAGAGAACTGAACAACAGCAGATGAGGTAGAGAGGGAAGTTGGGAGGGGAGGGGAGGGGGGATAGTAGGGGATAGGAAAGGCAGCAGAATACAACAGTCACTAATATGGCATTATGTAAAAATGTGAATGTGTAACTGATGTGATTCTGCAATTTGTATTTCGGGTAAAAATTGGAGTTCATAACTCACTTGAATCAAATGTATGAAAGATGATATGTCATGAGCTTTGTAATGTTTTGAACAACCAATAAAAAAAAGAAACTTGAAAGACATTCATTGACTAAAAATAATGAAACATTTTAGATATTCCATGTAAATGGTAATAAAGAGCAAAGATAACTATGCTTATTTCAGACAAAATAGACTTTAAACTAAAAACTGTAAAACAGAGACAAAGAAGGCCATTGTGTAGTGAAAAGGGGTCAATTCATCAGGAAGATATAATAATCACAAATATACATGCATCTAACAACACAGCACCTAAATATAAGAGGTGGGAAAGAAGACTGCAGCAAAACAGTAGTGAGGGACTTCAATACCCCACTTTTTTTTTTTATTGATTGTTCAAAACATTACAAAGCTCATGATATATCATCTTTCATACATTTGACTCAATTGGGTTATGAACTCCCATTTTTACCCCAAATACAAATTGCAGAATCACATCGGTTACACACTCACATTTTTACATATTTATCTAGAAAGACTATCTTTCTGGAAGAAAGAAACAATGACTTGAGCTACACTTACACTTAACAAGACATTTATAGGACATTCCTTCTAATAGCAACAGAATATGCCTTATTCTCAAGTGTACATGGAACAATCTCTAGAGAAGATCATTTGTTAAGCTACAAATATAACACATTGTAACAAATTCAAGAAGACCAAAGTCATATCAAATAGGTTTTTTTTTAATGGTATGAAACAAGAAATAAAATAGTTTGGGATGTAGTTCAGTGTGTTACACTTGCTTAGCATGTGTGAGGTACTGGGTTCAAAAAAGAAAGAGTCATTTCAAGCTAGTTCCTTGAAACAGAGATTGTGTTTAGGAGAAATTAAACTGGCAATAATCTTTTCTGGGAATTGTCAAAAGTAATTTTACTGTAGTATAATTGACATTTTGGCCCTCCTATTTATGTTACTGAAAAATCAGTCATCTAATATGTTTAAAGAAAATCACTTATACAAGCAAACTCAAGTTGTGAAATAAACCATAAATTAAGAAATTATATTTCTTCTATCAGTCAAGACCAGTTTTTCTTAAGTAGCTATGGGGGTGGGAAACTGAAAGACTCATTTTGCCTGTTATTTTTCTCTCTTTCAATTTCATTTACAAGATTTTCAGCACTGACGCTTTTTAATCAGCCTTTCCCTTTTCTTCCTTTTTCCAAAAATTGTCAAGAAAAATGTTTATTTCTACCAATATCTATGTCCAAATTGTATAATATTATTTTTTATTAGCAAAAAATATTCTTATAGAGGGCTTCTTTGCATGCTATGCAGCACCGTAGACATCTTAGAAAATCATGTGAAAAGATAGCTGATTCACTCTGTACTGGTATTTGATTGCTTTCAAGTTCTCAGAGAAATTTATGCTTTGGAAACTATTTTCCTGTTTGCAAGTTATAAATTGAAAAAAAAAGGAACCAGTATGAGCATATAATAAACAATTATTGAACTTCTACTTATGTGGTCAGTAAATACATGCCTGCTTATAACATATCACTGCACTTTATTCCCTGAGCTGAAGTACAAGTAGTCACATGCCCTTGCTTTGTGCCTTGTCCCACTGATGCCAAACAGTGTTTTCTAAAGGAAAGGTAGGAAATTTGAAGTTAGAGGGATTGGGTTTGGATTCTGGCTCTGATGTTTCTTCATGCCCCTAGAGAAGGTTAACTATTTAATGCCTCTAAGATCAGTGTCTTGATCTGTGAAATGGGAATATAAATACCTGCAATATTGAGTTGCTGGAAAATGTAAATGAGTCATCATCTGAAACAGAGAAAGTACTTCATAGAAGTTGGTTCCTGGCCTAGACCTTTCCTCCTCCATTTCCTGCCTTTGATCATAGTAGGACTCTTCTGTTCCTATTACATAATAGAGAAATGTTCTGTTATTACAAGGATACAGTGAAGAGTGCAGGGAAAATTTAGGACCAGAAAAAATTTCTGGACTAAGCCTTCCCTCATGTCGTGAACATTAACCCAAACTGGATCGAGCTATGTCTACATATTTCAACTTAAAAATACTCTCTGGAAGAAAAGAACCACTAGGGTTCTTTTGGGTAGATATTCTGGGCTAGGACTGACTTTTCAATATCAAAAAATATTATCTTCAGGCTGGGGCTGTAGCTCAGTGGTGGAACACTTGCCTTACACATGTGAGGCACTGGGTTTAATCCTCAGCACCAAAAAAACCCAAAAAAACAAAAAAAAAAAACCATAAAAAGATACTGTGTCCATTTACAACTAAAAAATATTTTTTAAAAATATTATTTTCAAGGGCTGAGGCTATAGTTCAGTGGCAGAGAGCACTGGGTTTGAACCTCAGCACCACATAAAAATAAACAAATAAAATAAAGGCATGCTGTCTCTCTAACAGCTACAAAAAAATTTTTTAAAATATATTATTTTGGGGCTGGGGTTGTGGCTCAGAGGTAGAGTGCTCGCCTACCATGCGTGAGGCACTGGGTTCGATCCTCAGCACCACATAAAAATAAATAAAAAAAAAGATATTTTTAAAAGGCCACTTTAAAAAATATATATTATTTTCAAGATAGAGTTGCCAATTTTTTAATTGGTTATTTTAGAGTGCTTTAGAAGACACACCCATGATTGTTGCTATAAGCCTAAAACAAACTCTTGAGTCAGCAAATTGGAGATTTTAAAGCTTTCTTGAAAACAGATTTATATATAATGTGTCAATCAGAGTCCAAACAGGAGACAAAAACATACTAGTTATTTGAACAGAGAATTTAATGAAAGGTTACTTAACTAGGCAACTGAAGGATAAAAAAGAAGGTATCATGGCAGTAGCAACAGCAGGAAGTAGCTCCCACCATGAGGGCTGGGAAGCAGAAGGGAAGTAGCCAGAATTATTAAAACTTAGAAATGTTGAGAAGGGGCTCCACAGAGGTAAAACTCAAACCTAAAACAAAGCTGTGTCTCAGCTTGTGCTGTATCTCTGGGCTGGCATTAGGGGCACTATGGGCCTGTGACCAAACTTTAAGTATGTGGTACTGGTTCCCCGGTGTCTCTGAGGCTGGGAACATGATGAGGCTGGTTTTGCAATTGTTGGAAAAACCGCAAATTGGATTCAGCTGCTACTATGGTTAAGCATTACTGTTGCTGGGTGAAGATGACTTGCTGGAGTGATCTTACACAAACCACAAGCTGACGAGAAACCTATGATGAACAAACAGAAAGGAACACACCCTTTCTCCCTCCTCCATCCTTGTTGTCTTCCTCTAGCATCTACTGACATAGCTAGCAGGAGCAGCTAGCTACACAGAAATGATGTTTTCAGAGTTCCAGGCCCAGTAGTGCAAAACTGTGCAGGAAGGGTAACGATAACAACTTAATGTGTAACTTGCTTGAAGATAGATCTCTATATGCAAAGGTAAGAAAGATTAAGGAAGTAAGTGATATTTTCTTTGTTTCATTCTTTCCCAACTTCTTATTCAAGACTTAATTTTCCGCAGTGTAATGGGATTTGGAAGAAGATACAAGACTGTGTGCGATAGTCAGCTTTTTGTTACTGTGACCAAAATACCCAACAAGAACAATTTAGAGGAAGAAAAAATTATTTTGATTTTTGGTTTCAGAGGTTCAGTCCATGGTCATTCAATTCTATTTGTCTGGGCCAAAGGTGAGGCAGAACATAACGGTGGTAAGAAATGGTAGAAGAATGCTGCACCATTCATGATGGACAGGAAGCAAAGAGAGGAAGGGGAAGGGACTACAAGGAAGATGACCCCTTCCAAGGCACTCTTCCAGTGACCCACCTCCTCCAGCCATACCCACCTGCCTACAGTTACCACCTAGTTAGTCCATTTAAACTAGGATAAGCTAATTAGGTTATAGCTCTCATAACCTAATCATTTCACTTCTGAATATTGACATAGGCACTTTGGGGGACACCTCCTATCCAAACCATAACAAAGACAAATTTGACCCAATATTTCATCCCCACTTTTCCATGACACCAGTAAATTCATACATTTGATTTCACAGATTGTCAAGTTTTCCATATTTGAGGCAACAGACTTAGAGTTGATTGCTTTTTATTTTGTCAAGTGATGCCATTAAGTACTGCCTATGATTTCACTAAGAGAACATTTTACTCACCAACACTCAGGAAGAACATAATCTCAGATTAAAGCATAGTTCTTAGTTGAATTGTTTTGAAAAACTCACTGCATGGGTTCTCTCTCATACAGTGAGGATGTCCATGGAACAGGATAGAGGAGAGCATGGCTACAGAGTCATTAATCAAGACCTCCGGAGACCAAGCAGAAAGCAGGTATGATTTTATTCGAAGTTACCATGTATGTATACTCAGGCAGTGGCTAAGCAGATTACAGGCAGCCATCAATACAATTTCTGGCCAACTGTCCTTGCAGGAACCAATTAAGGAGTGGGCCGTGGAACAAGTACAGGGACTGCAACTCATGGCCTCATGCCCAGGGCTGATCCTAGAGGGTAAGCTGTTTGTGGCTCACATGCCTAGCACCAGGGAGTGGTTTGCCACTCAGAAGCCTTAATGTATGGCATGTATGCAGTACTCCATGCACTTGTCCTCACATCTCACTGTTTAAATACAAATACTGAGGGAAGGTAAGAAAAATATTGATGTTTTCACATTTGTATGGATTTTATAATAATAATAATAGTAATAGTAATAATAATAATAATATCATTGAAAGCTCGCTACAAACTGCAGTTATGATGAACACTACATATGTATCAATTACTTAACCTTCCCCTAAGGTCTCCTGGTGCAACCCATTATCACTTCCATAACACATTCAGATAAATACATATTAGTGAAGATGTGTACTTAAGGTAACACAACTAAGTGGCAGAATAATGCCTAGCAGTCAATCTTCTGACAACAAATCTGGCTGAATTCCCTGGCTACCTGCACCTTTTTTCTGGAATTCCTTGTACACACCTCTTATATGGGTCTAGGCTAAAGTTATGGGCCATGGGCCCAGACATCATTGATTTTATCACTTAGCYCTACTCTCCTGGCCAAAATTTGTTCTACATTTCAAGATAAAATTTATATAACTTTCAAGTGCAACCTGATACACGTTGTTTTCTGCTCATGCATTATTTGAGTTGTATTCTTGACATGTTCATGATCAAACCCCTCTAGGCTTAAAATATTGTGTTTCCATTCCTTCCATTTCTTCCATTACATACACACACATACGTGTGTACACAATCCTTGCATGAAGTGTTCAAAGTCTCCCTCCCAATGGGTATCCTGGTAAACTCAGGAAGTCAGAACTGCTGCTTTGTAGCCTTAGTCTGCTTTTTCACTGCTGTGACTAAAGGATCTGACCAGCACAACTGTAGGAGAGAAAAAATTTATTTGAGGGCTCACAGTTCCAGAGTCTTAGTCCAGAGAAGTCTTAGCTCCATTCCTTGTGGCACAAGGTGAGGCTGAGCATCACGGTGGGAAAGGGTAATTGAGGAAGGCATCTCATATCATGGTGATCAAGAAGCAGACAGAGAGACTCCTGTTCCAGATACAAAATATATATCCCATAGCCATGCCCTCAATTTAACCATTTCCTCCAGCCACACCCCACCTGACTCTAGTTACCACTCAGTTTAATCCCTTCAGGTATTAATTCAGTTTAATCCCTTCAGGTATTAATTCACTGATCAGGTTAAGACTTTCACAATCCAATCATTTCTCATCTGAAACTTCCTGCATTGTCTCACACATAAGCTTTCAGGGGACACCTCATATCCAAACCATAACATAGCCCAACATCATCTAATTGATGCTGAAACTGAAGAAGAGGAGATGGAAACTGGTTTGTAGCTTTCTGGCTTTTTCTGGTTCAGTGGCTATTTGCAAAGGGAGCTTCTAAGTTGGGGCTCAAGCCTTAAGGGTGGAAGATTGCCGAGAGCCATCTATGAGCCCTGGGTAAACTGAGTGATATTGGAGCCATTAAGCAGAAAATCCTGGTATCAGTAATACAGGTTTAGTATAGAAATATAGAAATGTGAGAAGTCACTGTAAATAAACCCACTTTCATTTGTTTGCCACTCAAAAAGGCTGAGGACAAATTGTTGGGATAAGGAAAAATATTTATTTCAAAAGCTAGTAAACTGAAGAAGATGTGAGGCTGTTGCCAACAAAGAGCATCTTAGGGAACTTAGGGGTGCAAAGGGGCTTTATCGGGAGGGAAAGGAGGAGCAGAGGGGCAATGAGCAAGAAGGCAAGATGCTGAGTGCCTAGTGGTGACTTCCTCCTCCAGGGCCTATATTTTCTTTTCTTTCAGAACATCCCTGAGATATCAGGTCAGTCCTTATAATTTTTTTGATAGACACAGTATTTCCCTACAAGTTAAGCATTATTTTACTTTTAATTAAAGAACAAAATTATCAAATCCTTGATTCATTCTTTGATGTTATCTGAAGACTATCAGCTGTTCTGGATTTTATAAATCTAGAAGAAACTTAATAATGAGTAAGTTTTACAATGTATGTCTTTTTAGTTCCTTCTTCCAGGAATAGCTAAACTTACAGTTAATTATTAAGATGTGAAATCTATCTTTCACTGGACAACAGAGGGAGATAAAGGCAAMAATTTTAACTTGTACTGTAGTTTCAGTCAGAGGTATGTCTCATCTACAGCCAAACTAGTTGGAGACTAATAATATATTGCTCATCCTAATGATCTCCAAAATTAGTAATTTTTAAAGTCAATTAAAAGCAAGTAAAACTGTAAGGCTTATTTAGGATTTCCCACAKTTATATCACCACTCAGTGGTATCAAGGTCCTTTTATTCTGTTTCTCAAMACTGAGAAAGAATGGAAGTTACATATTCCTAAATCTAAGATTCTTTTAGATCCTCAAAGCCCACCTGATCTTTCTGTGTGTTAGACCCTTTTTGGATAAAACAGGTCAGTGGAAAATTGTGACAGTGGGTTGTTTTGGAGGAAGAGTGTGGAGGATGTAGGTTTTGATCTTGTTCTTACTCTACTCTGTACTATGTGGTCTCTCAATGTGGAAGAGAAAACGAAACCCACCGACTGGCAGTTCAGGGCTGTACTAATTGTTCCATGTAGTTGCCAGAACTCCTTCCAGTTCATTACTCTCCTATCTTAAGAGTGTGTTCTTCCACTATGGAAAGCAGTATGGAGATTGCTCAGAAAACTTGGAATGGAACCACCATTTGAGCCAGCTATTTCTACTCCTCAGTTTACACTCAAAGGATTTAAAATCAACACACTACAGTGATGCAGCCACATCAATGTTTATAGCAGCTCAATTCACAATAGCTAAACTTTGGAACCAACCTAGATACCCTTCAACACACGAATGGATAAAGAAAATGTGGTACATACATACAATGGAATATTACTCAGTTTTAAAGAAGAATGAAATTATGGCATTTTCAGGTAAATGGATGGAACTAGAGAATACATGCTATGGTGAAATGAGCCAATCCCAAAAGACAAAGGCTGATGCTGATCCATAGTGGGGGAGGTAGGGAAGAATGAAGGAACTTTGAATTRTGCAGAGTGGAGTGAGGAGAGGGGAAGGGCTGTGGGGATGAGAAGGATGGTAGAATGAGACAGACGTTATTACCCTATATACATGTATGATTACACTACTAGTATGATTCTGAACATATATAGCCAGAGGAATGAGAAGTTGTGCTCCATTTGTGTACAATGTGTCAAAATTCATTCTACTCTTATGTATAACTTATTGGAAAAAAATAAAAATTTTTTTAAAAACCACTTAATTAAATGATCAAGAAACTCACCTTCAGTTCTGATATTTGCTATTCTAAAACTGTTATAATAAAGAATTCAATCTAATTAATTTTTATATGAACTCAACAACCTACCCTGTACCAGAATGGACAAAGAGGTAGGGATATCTCTATAAAGCATATACTATAGTTTAAAAAAAAAAAACACAAGGAATTTATACCTTTTTTTGCTTCTTATATGAATGCTTTCTGGCTCTCTACAGAACTGATTTTCCCTCAAATATAAATATCTTTAATAAATGTTTGCTTTGAGTTGGATTGAAAGGAAAAATAAGGTTTTCATTGCTAAATTGTTTTTTAAATTATTTATTTATTTATTGGTACAGGGGATTGAACCCAGGGGCACTTCAGCCTTTTTTTATATTTTATTTAGTTACAGGGTCTTGTTGAGTTGCTTAGGACCTCACTAAATTGCTGAGGCTGGCTTTGAACTCACAATCCTTCTGCCTCAGCCTCCTGAGCCACTGGGATTACAGGTGTGCACCACCATATCTGGAAAAACATCATTTAGTTTTTTTTTTTATTCCCCTATTATTTTTCAAATTTTAAATTTATATCAAAGCAATACATATTCATAGTTTGTCTTTGCATTTTAAGATAGATTTCATTTTTAAAATTATATATATATATATATATATATATATATCTGTGGAGTATATTTTTGCTTACTGTACATCATGGAGTATAACTTATTCTAATCAGGATCCATTCTGTGGTTGTACATGATGTGGAGATTTACTGGTGGTGTATTCATTTATGAACATAGGAAAGTAATGTCTTATTTTTTTTTTATTTTTGTTGTTGGTAGTTCAAAACATTACACAGTTCTTAATATATCGTATTTCACAGTTTGATTCAAGTGGGTTATGAACTCCCATTTTTACCCCGTATACAGATTGCTGTATCACATCAGTTACACTTCCATTGATTTACATATTGCCAT